GTTCTGCCAGGGTCATCATTTCCTATCCTCTCCAAGCGTTGAATTCAGTTCAATAGAGAGAAGACAACACATTGGTCTGTCACTAGATAAGCATTAGCTGATATTTGGTCAGGGTGCTCAAGGAGTGAATTCCAAGGTAGTGATCTGGGAGTGAGATGGATGGCATGAAAGGGGTGAATTGTGTTGCATACATTTCCTGCATGCAGTCAGATGTCTCCATATAGGATTTTGACCCTGAAGAAGAAACAGACATCTTAAAAAAAAGACTTGTTGTTTTCCACTGAACAGTCAGTCTGTTCCTTAGGACAGAGGTGGAAGTATGAAGAGGGGGGAAATTCAGCCCAGCTTATTCAAAGTTTTTCTCTTCTCTCCCAAATTGCTGTTTTCAAGCTGTGGACACATCTGGAAGTAACAGCAAACACGTGTATGGTGGTTTTGGAGAAGGGGAAATGGGATTCACATGCTTGAGAGGGTGGACTGCCTATTCTGACAGTGTGGGCCAGAGATACTGAGACAGAGAGACAAACTGGAGGTAGAGCTAAGTGCCTTTCCAATTGAAGGAGCTGGAATGCTACTCTTGAATATAATTTACACATCTGAAAGTACTAACACATGACTCACTGTGGTGGTTATAATGAAATTTTAACCGCCTACTTAGATGACAGACAAGAGGTACGGCTTAAATTGGGTGGGTGATAGACACCCTAAATAATTCTATCTCTTTATAGCAGTGAATTGTGGCAAAGATATCCATTCTAGCATAGGAGTCGCAATCTGTTACCCAATCTGGACACTTAAGACCATAGTGTCAGCAAAAAACATCTCTGTACATCTTCAAGCACTGTAAATAAGATGGGAAGGATAGCTGGGCCAGAGAGGCTGGGATGTCTCAGTTAGTGCTGGTCTAGCTGCAAACCTTTGTGGCAGTTGACTTCCAAAGCCAGGGAAAGCAGTAAGGAATGGACCAGATTGCCCATCTAGCTTTGACATAAAGTTTGCATCACTGCCTATTATTATAGTATCTGAGCACTTTTGAAGCAGAATAGTGATAACAATGGGCATTTATACACGTGCTTCGGAAGTGGGAGAAAGAGGGGTGCTTTAATTAGATTGACTCCAAGAGGGGCTCTTGGGGCCACTCTAATTAAAGCACCCAGACAGTCTCATGTATCTGTGTTCCCATCCTTAAAATGGCAGCAGGGGTGCTTTAAAGCTTGATACATGAGATGCTGGAATCTGCTGGAGCACAGTAATTACCACACTCCAGCAGACTCAATTAATTGAGTCTGCTCTGACACACTGTAATTACAGTGTGTTGGAGTAGCCTCATTGCTCGTTTGTAGGCGCCTGCTTAGTGCACTTCACAGAGTCTCTGGCCTGTCTCCCAATTTGAGGTAAGTGTTGGTAGAAGATAGGCTTTGGGGTTTTTATTTCTTTATATTTTATTTCTTCTGTGAGGTGTTTTTTTTTTAAGATTGATTTGTTTCAAGATACTTTTTTGGAGGTTGGCTGAGGTTTCTTTCCTGAAAGGAGTTATCCATCTTGTGAGCATTGTACTCATAGCTAAAATAAGATTGTCAAAGAGGAACACTTCCATGCATTTCCTAATGGTCGCCAGAGCAGAGAGGACACTGCAATGAGGTGATAAGTAAAAGCAAGGAGAAGATTGCTGTCATGGAGCCAAGGGCTTATCTATAATCCATACTGAGTCCAGGACCACCATTAGAAAGCATACCTTACCCACTCTTTCCTGCTCCATGCATGTCATTGTAGCCCAGCCCTCTTAGGATCTCTGTCTCGGGCATGTTCTTAGTGTGTGTTCAGGTTCCTGGCTTGAGGGTTTTGTTATAATTTTTTAATTCAGTATGAAGATCTGAAGCTAAGAACCCAGCTTCAGAAGGCATTTTCTGTTTACTGTGTATATACCGTATTAGCCACAGCTTTAAATAGATCATTTTTCCCCACCCTTTTTAAACAGTGTCTGATTCAGCAAAATGATCCTTGTCAGGAGACAGGCCAAATCTCTATCATCTCTCAAGAGCTTGGCACCAACTAGCAGGCTTTACAAGCTATTTTAAGCTAAATATTAGAAGACACCCAGTATGTTGTACTATGGTTGGAAGGGCTGTTCTTCCTGTCAGCTACAGTCCACCGCTACAAAGCACAGCACTAATTAGGAGGGTCTTTGGTCTGGACTCTCCTATGCATTCCCATAAGCTAAGACTCAAACCAACTTCCCCATTGTCTATAAGGACCTTGTTACACAGTAATTTTGGGTAGCTTCTGGAGCCTTTGACCCATGGATTGTCCATTCATGAACACCTTCAAGTGGTTTTAAGCACTCCTTATGCAGCTCAAAGCTATGCTGCTCCAGGACAAGATTATCTCTGATCCATACTACCCAGCTCCTCTTCCATTAAGGTGTGGCCACTCCCCTCAGATGTGCATCCAAGCTGAAGACCTCCAGTATCCCAGGATCTCTTACACCTCCACCTGTATAGCAGGGATAGAAGTCTTTCCTGGCTCACCAGCCCTGTAGTGGCAACTCACAGCTACAGCTCCTAGTCCTGCCCCTGCTCACCAGGCCTCTAGTGGCAAGTCACAGCAGTGCAGGTGGAGGACAGAGAAGGTTTCTAGACTAACGGCATTTATACACATACTTTTTTGTCCTGTGATGCGCCAGAGATCCGCTGCTTTGGAGCAGATTCGATTAATCAAGTCTTCTTCGCACAAAAGCTGAGATGAACTGTGCTGCACTGTGTACAGTTGTATAAGTAGCTAAATGCGTGTCAGCACACAGAAAATGGCGGCAGTGCACTTTTGAACTGAAGCACCTCTGATGTGTTTTAGTTCAAAAGCATGGCACCTCCATTTTCTTAATGCCAACACACATTTTGCCACTTATACAACTGCAAGCGTCGCAGTGCTGGGTGCTTTTCAAAGCACCTAACGCTGTGGTGCTTGCATGTGTAAAAATGCCCTAAGGGCAAATCTACACATCACTGTATAGCAACATTGCTATGGCACCGTTGTATGGGCAGTTACTTTCCCATGTGCCGCTACTTCATTATAGTGGCATGCTATATTGGAGAGTGTGCCACTATGGCAACGTAGCTGGTCATCACGTGTAGACCCGCATGATCGCTAAATTTTTTAGGGGCCCATGGGCCGGATAGAATGGCCTGGTGGGCCGCATCAGGGCCACGGGCTGCATTTTGTTCACCCCTGGTTTAGAGGGTGGAAATATTGTCTGCAGAGAACAGGAGGCTGGGAGAGGGAACACTGCATTCTGGGATTCTGGAGGACTGCACCTTGGGTGACTCATCTGTTGGAAGTGGCCATACATTAATGGAAGAGGAGCTAGGTAATATGGATCAGAGATAACCTGCCCTGGACTGCTTAACTTTTTGCTTAACTTTGAGCCACCTAAAGTGTGCTTAAAACTAGTTTTAGGTGTTAATACGTAGACAATCCAGGGAAGGGGCTGGAGGTCAGTTGCTTTGACTAGTGGTAACTGGGTCATCCCACTTAACAAGGGCTGCAGGGCAGGAGCCTGCCTGGGCTTTACAGAGGTGACCCAGGCTGCAGCATGGATCCTTACAAATGGTAATCCAACAGTAATCAGAATGATTAGCCAGACAAGAGTGTGCCAGCTTTCTGTAGAGTAATAGGAGCTTTTTTACACATGCAAATGCCGCAGCACCAGGCACTTTGAAAAGCACCCAGAGCTGCTACGCTTGCAGTTGTATAAGCGGCAAAATGCACGTTAGCGCGAAGAAAATAGCGGCTTTGCGCTTTTGAGCTAAAACACCTCAGAGGTGATACTTCCAAAGTGTGTCCTGTGGGACACTCCATGCACCCCAGCATTGCAGCATTCACTAGCCACCTGGTACCTAGAGGTATGTAGAAAAAACATTTAACGCTGTGTCTATGTCTGAATCACCGAATCTTTCCAGATCTCTTTGAATCAATTTGGAGGGTTCCGATTCGATTCAGAGAGATTAAAAGGTCCTCCGATTCGATCCGGAGTCAGAGATTCATTTGGCCACCAAATTGGGCCAAATCTCCACCAAATCAAATCAGGGACCAAAGCTTTGCAGAGCCCTAGTAAATAGTAGAGAGGAGGCTGTTTGAGGTGTCATATGTTAGGCACATCATAACATGTCATGAATCCAATGTCTATATTTAGTCCATGATTTTTTGTATCCAGTAGGTTGATGAAGTGATGTTCGTAGGCTTGTCTGTGAAAAGTGTATGGAAAACTCCCTTTGAGGATTAGAACAGAGATTGGAGAGAGAGTGGTTTTCTTGTGAGAAATGTGCCCCCACAGGTAACTGGGTATTCTTGTCTTTGATAGAGTTTTGGTGTGCATTCATTTTGGTATGCAGTTGTTGTTTGGTTTCTCTTCCATATTTTCCATCAGGGAATTTGGTGCACTGGATGAGATATAACATTTCTGGAGGTGCAGGTGTAAGATCCAGGAATGTTGATGGTTCTGTTGTGGGCTGTAGTTATTGTGGGATTGGTGGAGATACGCCCTGGTGTCAAATATGTAGGAGAAACCAAACAACAACTGCGTACCAGAATGAATACACACCGAAACTCTATCAAAGACAAGAATACCCAGTTACCCATGGGGGCACATTTCTCACAAGAAAACCACTCTCTCTCCAATCTCAGTTCTAATCCTCATAGGAAATTTACAAAACACCTTTCACAAACAAGCCTATGAACACCACTTCATCAACCTACTGGATACAAAAAATCCTGAACTAAATATAGACATTGGATTTATGACACATTATAACCTGCCTGACATCTGACACCCCCGGCAACCTCTCTACTATTTGCCAGCTATATTTTTTTCACCAGGTCTCTATTCCCCTTTCCCTTTCCCTCTCCCCTACCCCCCACCTGTCTCTCACCCAATGACTACCTCAATTTGCATTTTCACTGACCGGCTTTCTCGCATGCATACTGGCCTCTGGCTTCTTTTCTATTTCATCCAGGAAGAGCACAGATCAACTGCAGATGCTTTCTCTGCCTGACAAAAGGTATTTGTACCCAAAAGCTCACAAAGAAGAATTTTTCCAACTATTTTAGTTGGTCTACTAAAAGATATCAGATTTACCCAAAGAACCTTGTCTGCCTATGTCCTTAGACCAACAAAGCTACAACAAATACCCCTTTAGAGGGTAATTAAGGAGACGAGGTTTAAGGTCTAATATGTCTTTATTATCTGTGATTCCTGTGGTTCTAGTTCATTGCAAAATGGAACAATGGAAAAGGACAAACATGAAAAGCCCTGGGAGCCATCCATGGAGAGAAGAGAGATTATAACTTGCACCTGATGCCCGTGCTTAGAACAGAATCCAGGAAAGAACCAGAAAACTTCAGGTCTGTAAGTCTGTCATCTCATTTGAAAAGACTGTAGTTGGACTGTCTAGGGCAGTGGTTTTCAACCTTTGGTCTGTGGACCCTTGGAGGTTCACAGACTATATTGAAGGGGTTCAGGAAAGATGAGTGTGATCAATCAAAAGTATGTGAATACCCACACTTACAATTCAAAGGGGTCCACACCTTCATTTAAATTTTGTTAGGGGTCTGCAAATGTAAAAAGTTTGGAAACCACTGGTGTAGGGATTAAATGGGACTGTATTGCAGATGACAAACACCATTCTGGCAGGTGAATGGACCTAGATATTGAAGATGATGTGGTCTGCTTTCACCTACCTATATTAATGCAGGTTTGGCTACACAAAGGGGTATTGAATCAGAATAATGCATTGCTGTTGTTCCTTAGGATAGTATAGCACCATTTTGAAACCACAGCAAGTCAAAGTAGTGCAAGCCCTGCCTTGCAACTGGGCAACATGTTTGCATTCAGGGATTCCATTGGTGTACCTGGACAAATACAAAGAACCCTAATGACGACAGGTGCTGTTACCTGAACCAAGGATCAGGGTGGAAGCTTTATAAGAAACAGACCAATGTTCCTTTAAAACAAACTAAGGATTGGGTTTTTGCATAAGCAGCTATGGAACCTACTTGCTTTCCTCTTGAGTATGATTTTGTGAGCTCGATATGGATGTCAGGTCTCTAAGGCCACTAACAGATGTGAAAAAAAAACCCAAACAACCCAGCACTTTACCAGAAGAGGAAGTGACCCAGCTCCATAGCATCTGTATAGATCAGGCGCTTCAGTGGGGCTTTTTGCCACTTTTATCTACAGCTGATTGAATCAGCTATTAGATTAAACGGCAAAAAAGCACCTCTGAAGCATGCAATCTATACAGATTTTGGATGAGCTGGGTCAAACTGATGCTGGGCAAGCACTGCGCTTGATGCAGTGGTGCGCCAAGCTGAAATAGGGGTTTTTTCCATGTCTGTAAGCAGCCCAAGATTTTAGAAATCCATGTGGCAACTTATTTCACTTACACATTTAGAAAACTTAATTGAAAGACTTAATGGAACAGCAACAGTGGCAGCAGTATAAACATACTTTCTGAAACGGGTATAGAGAAGCCTCAGGATGTATGTTTTTAATTCATTTACATAATAATTTAATAAATGAACAACCCGCAATAATAGTTTATTTAATACTCAAGTGCTAAGGTTTGTATTGTAGTTTTAAACATGTTTTTATTAAACAAAATTATGGAAAATGATCAGTATAGACATCTAGTGGGTTATAAGCATAACTAGCTAGAAATTTAGATGCACAGTGTAGAAAATCTAAGAGGAAAAATGCAATCATGTTTGGATTAAAAGCCACTCTAAGTTATATCATGCAGCTCCACTGGGGCAAGATCAGTGCAAATGAGAATACAGCAAGATTCATCCCTTTATAATTGTATACATGTAGATTCATAGACAAATTTGACCATAAACCCTCACATTGCTGATTCAGAACCAGATATAACTTGACCTTTCAGATGCCTGGTGCCTTATATATCATTCACTCCTGGTTTGGGGTAGAAGTGAAGGGTTGTGTGTACTGTAATAAACATCATACGCATCGATCATCAGGCCCCTTGATAAATATATGCATATGAAACTGAACCTGGTACCTAATACCTAGTGGCAGTATGCTGTATTATTCTGGCTCTTCCCACCTTCCATTTTTCTCCCTCATCATCAGTTTCCCTTGGTCTCTCTCTCTCCTTTCCCTTCCATCTCCTTTTTTTTCTCACAGTGTTGACTCCTCTTGGATGAGGTTCTGTCTGTGTTGGACCTCACTGCAGTGAATTTTTCTCCCTGTTGACTGTATCCACATTTTGAATACAGTGGAGCAAGCAGATTGCAGACCAGCTCTGAGTTGTCAGTGAGGTGTGCTGGCTGACTTTGCTTCTTCTACATGTTAAACCCCCTGAGCTTGGCATCCCCAAGTCCAGTCTTTTCTTTGCTGGCTGAATGTGAAGGCAGGACAAAGCTATGTGAGTTACTTCTTTCAGGGCTACAGCTGGCAATGAAAGAAAATTCCTGGTATTATTGCCTAAAGGTTCCTGTGAGTTTTACACATTCAGATAATTTTTCTTGTATTTGACAGTGGCAAAGTATTTTTCCCTCTCTTGTTAAACCATCTTATTGGTCATTGCACACCCTGTGTGGTCAAAGCAGGGGGGGTAGTGGAATTTAAATTTATTTTCCTTCTCATCCTTCCCAGGCTCAGGATGTCCTGTATCACATGTACTCCTAAGCAAGGGAATGTGAGGCAGAGGCCTTGCTTGTGCTAGGCAAGGAGAGAAGTGGTGGTGAGTTTCCTGGGGTCCTCACTATTCAGGGCCACTGTATCTGCTCTGTTAGGTCTGACCTGTTGCTGTAGGTCAGCCCTGCCCTCCTGACCTTGGGATGCAGAATCCGCAAAAGAGGTCTGTTCTCCTGCATATGGCCTACTAAGCCTTTAATGCTTGTGCGCTCTCTTACTGCCTTCCACTCTGAATGGAAAGGGCATGCTCTCCCACCCCATCTCCTCACATTGCCTTCTGCTTTATCCTGTCTGTGAACTCTTGACCTTGATTGCTCTCTCTCCTTATACAGCTCCCGTCCCTTTGCCAGCTCCAAGACGGTCTTGTGTTTCTTGGAATCCGGCAGCTCGAGACTTCTTGTTGATTGGTATAAACAATCTTAAAGGTCACATTTTTTCCCCCCTGCAGAGGGACAGGGGGGAAAAAAATAAAAGGTTTCTCTCAAATTAACAACCACAACGATGTAAACATGGAAGCCAAAGGGAGCTGCTCGCTAGTGAGTCAACCTGTGCCAAAGAAGCCCCTCTGGGCTTTCTTAGGAAAGAAAATGTGGGCACAAAATGTGGCATGCTTTTGTGGCTCCCTAGGTTGAGGGTGCCAGGGGACTATCATAATCACTCCCTGCTTGAATGTTGACATCTAATTTGAGCAATGCTGTGTGTGCCAGGGCTGTCATTGGTCATTCTGCTAAGCTGGAGGAGAATGCAGAAACATTAACAATCTTGGCTGTTAGCGGAGGGGGAGGAGGCCTGGAGGGTATAAAGCAGTGGAGATCTGTCAGAAATGTATTCAGCTAGCCTGTGGGTCTGATCCAACTCCCACTGCAATCAATGGAAAGGGTCCCTTTGACTTCACATGGAAGCCTAACCCAGTTTTCTCTGAGGAAAGGCTTTATGGAAAAGGAATGTAATGAAAGCTAAGGTGTGCTATCACCTGCTTAGGGCTCATATGTGCCCGTTGGCTGAGTCTCTGGCCAGCTGTACAGTGTAAAGTTTTACCAGCCCAGCTAGCAAGTAGATTAGGAACGAGAAAATGATCACAAACCCTGTCCAGCAGCTGCTTTGGCAGAATCTCCAAGGTAGACACATCTTACACCAGCTTAGCTGGTAAAGCTCAAGTTGTGTTTGCTATACTAGACAAACTGTTTTTCCCTACCTAAGCCTCTACTAGGTGGAGTTGTCAGAGTAGTTATGTCAGTAGAGCCTTTAAACTGAAGCCTTTAAACTGAAGCCTTTAAACTGAAGACTAGCACTCACGCTGAGGGCTCTGTCTTCTCACAAGTGACTACTTGGCTACGGACAGACATTACACATAAACCGATTTAAGTGAGCAGAAATTGGTTTAAACCTGTAACAGAACATAAGTTCAGTGCACATAAACCAGTTTCAAAATGGCTAAAATTGGTTTAAGATAAACCTGGTTGAATGTAGTATCAGACTTAATTGATTTGGGTCAAACTGGTTTATGCAATGTCTGTTCCAGACCCCTTCCTGATTTAAGTTAAACCAGAGTTCCCCAGCATCCCAGATACTTTGCAGCCCTGTGCTGGGCTGTGCTGGGCTGTCTGCTCCAGAGAACAGGGCTGGCCAGAGCTCCAGTGAAGACTGTAGGCACAGCAAGTTCTGCCTGGCCTCCCCCTCTCACTGTTTGCCACTTAAGCAGGGATTCCCCCTTCCCTTCCTCCCACAGCACGGACCCCAGCCCCGTGAACCTTAGGCATGTGGTATGCTAGCTAATGATGAGAGGTGTCTGTGTGTGTGTCTCCAATTTCACTGGGACAGGCAGACAGAGCAGTGTCGGCTTAGAGCTTTTTGGAGCTAATCAACAGGTCAACTGATAATGCCTCTCCATTCCTTCCTTGGAAAAAGCTGTTTAAGAAGAGCATGAACTAATGAGAAAGGCTTTTGTTTTGTTGATGGGCTGATAAACACTGTGTTATCAGCCCCCTGCTGGCTCCCTCGCTGATCAGGTTTGCAGACAGTATGAAGAAGCAGGAAGAAGGAGATTGAAAAGCTCAGTATTGGCAACAGATGCCTGCACTGCACACCCCACTTTGTCTCAGAGTTCTAGCCAGGGGCTAGGATCTAGCAACACTCCCATCCTTTAAGCAGTGAGTGGGGAAAAGCCTGGGATGGTGCAGGCCAGGGTGGGGGTTTACACCGCATCCTAATCTGAGCATCCTGCTGGGACCTAGCCACCCTCCCCCCCACCCCAGCTCAGTAGTATGGAAGGAAGGGAGGGCTGCTCTAGCATCCTCTCTCCCCGGACCCCTCCCCCCCCAGCTTCTAACCTGAGCCACTGCAGGCATGTGCCTGCTTTTCGTTAGTCCAGAAGGAATGTCTGTGCACTTGCAAACTGGTTCTACCTTGGCAGGTTAGGCTAACCTGTAAAGATTGAATCAATTCAGGCTCAGGCTTCTTGAATGTCTGTCCCTAGACCTTGTGACTGCTCCCCTTGCAGTGTGACCTTGAAGGGGTCCCAGCAGCTTGTGTGTTGTTTGGAATGAAGCATTGGGCGAATAGTATGTTTGACGAGGCAGCCTGTTATCATCATCAAGTCAACAGCAAGTGGCTTGAGCAAATCTAGCAAGAGTCAAGCAAACAGGGAACAGAAGGAGGCTTGTGGTTTGCCCCAACAGCTGTTGTCTTC